ATGGAGGGAAGACCTGGAGGTTGCCCTCCTGCGTGAGGTGACACGAATCGAACCATTCGCAGCAGACCACGGCGAGCTGCTGCAGCGATGGAAGTTGGTTGCAAGTGGCCTTAGTGACCAAGTACCCAAGATCAACTACCGCAGTGCCCGTGAGCATGTTGGCGTGATGCTCACGGGCACTGCGGTAGTTGATCTTGGGTACTTGGTCTCATGCAGCAAGGAGAGCGGCACGCGGACGCATCGTTACGACTGGTTAATCGTCAACTCTTACTCTTACGAAGCCAATGAACGGGGTTTAATTTGTTAGAAATGGTTTTGGCATCGAAATTGCAAATTCCGTGATTGCTAAAGGTGTAACTTCAAATATCCGAATCAAATTCCCGAAGTGAATTCGAACGTAGTTAATTTCGGGAATTTGATCAAATTACCGGTTTGCTAAATGTCTCTAATATCATAGTATTTCTCAATATTTCGATAAATATCGAGATAATTTGAACTGTGTCGTAATGGAGTGTCTGGACACCATTTTGTTTTCAAATTTTATTGCGATATCGGCGGAAAATATTCTGAAAAACGCAATAATAAATATACTACTCAGTATATTTTGCGGATATCGCAATTCTCCTATAACTGTGCTCCGTCAAACGCCCATTTATTGACACAAGCTTGTCCGTCACGGGACTACCCTGGACTTGCCTGTCCTGCTGCGTCCCCGATCACGAAGCTCTAGATACCATATATGCGTGTTAGACGAGATCGAGAACTCAGTTCATGCATACCGTGAACGGAGAATGCGATTGCACAGAGATTTTGACGGAGTCTTGACGTAAGAGGTCTTGAACGGCTGCGTGTGCGACTGACTACAGTATCGATACTAGTATTGAAGAGGACTATGTACATGTGTACTTGGCGATCAAGACAGGGAAACTGGGGTGACGTCCCTTGAGTTGCATGGTGGCGATGGGCCCATGGAAGCGTGCTACCTGGTGCGCGGGCAGTCGACAATTTACAAGATCCCTTCGCGTCTTTCTAGAAATATCACATAACGAAAATACGTTGTTCTCTGCATTTTGAAAATGCAGAATACGCACAAGGTTATCAAGATACTACGTAGTATTGCATCCAGACGGGCCATAAAACGTTTGGTTGAACTTGCGCATGAGAAATACTCTTATTGGCAATTACTTCGAAGTAGAGCTCTTTCGGAGATTTGTTGACGTGAGTTGGAGTAATATGTCGCAGAGAAGTGAAACTCACATAAAATATTTTGGACGACCCCAAGAGCACAATCCAGGAGTACACAGTAAGTACCCATTACTTCCAACTTGGTCAAATAAGTACACGTGGCATCATCAAAGTCAAAGTTCTCGAATAGTCAAAATAACCATATCTTGCATCATACGTAGAGATACAAATATGAAGATGTATTTACCAAACATTTTATTCATGTTGAGGTGCAAGTAGGGCCAACAACGGTGTTGCTCTACCTTTGATTATGTCGTATAAACTCGTACGGCTGCAGATGAAGGTCGCCGAGCATACAGCTTTGCAAGGAATGTACGGTAGGACTTTGCGGAGTTATATTCATTTCCACATGTTGTAGTTCTGTAGTATGATTGGTTATAATATGAATTTGACCATGACGCGCCATGTATCACACCTGAAACTCAAAACGTCGTTGAGACATCGGCGCACTTGTGTCAACTGGGTTTGCGTTTCAGATACACTGTAGTACTACAGTATTTTTGCGTTGGCCAATCAAATCACTGAAAATGCATGGCAAAACTCAAACTCAAAACAGGTTTTCGAAAGAGCTCTATCTTATTACACTAACAGTTACTAGTGTATACGGGTAGTAGCTTCACCAAGCTACTTCGAAGTACTGTACATGCACTTTGCTTGCCATCCGATCGGGTTGTTCTTACCAGTTGCTTCTCGACGGCGTCCAGTGGCCGAGGAGAATGGACACACCTCATTACGACGAAGCGATAGTTCATCAAAGCAACGACAAGAAATATACACGACACGCAAGCTGCTTTCCATTGAGACCTTCGAGGATATCATATATATAAACACCATAACGTGTCCATCTACATCGCAATTTGAACGGCGGCGACCACGACCAGTGCAACGCCCATGGCAAGCGAAGACAAAGCAGCCGACGAGGGTACAGGGGTGACGACGGCGCCAGGAGAGCCAGGGGCAGCGGTGGTGGTGCTCTTGCTGGCCTTGGTGGTGGGAGCATCCGTGGGATCCGTGGTGGGGGCGACGGTGGTGGGCGCGGGCGTGGGGCAGATCTTGGCGCAGTCGTACCGCATCAACGATCCGTCGTCCTTGTTCTTCACGTTTTGGGTTGTGCAGCTGCCGCACGTGTGGCACTGACTCTTGAGGACGGCGACAGGGTCAGGGTTTTGTTCACGCACGCAGAACAAAGGCTCTTGGCACACTTTCGACGTGTCCTCGGCAGTGAGCGCCGTGAAGCCGTTGCCTCGGACGCAGCGGCGCTGGTCGGTGCATTCATCAAATTGGAAGGCAACGTCGGCGGACGTTGAGGCAATTTGACATTTGTCCTTGCCTCCCAAACAACCGCACAATTTGTTGGAACCAGACTTGATGCAGGTCATGTTGAACCCGTTCAAGTCACCGCACTCCGTGTCTGAGCTGCACACGCTCGTGAATTGCAGCTTGCACACGCCCGCCGACGTTACGCTGGGGGCGGAGGTAGCGACGGGCTTGACAGTAGTGGTGGTAGCCAGAGTGACGGTCGAGGCGGCGGCGGCGGCGAAGAGATGGATGAGCTTCATCGTAGACACTGGCTGTGAATTGGGGAATGGGATGCATTGCTCACATCTAGAAGACCCCATCTCTCCCTGAACGGCAGCATAGGGGGGCCAAAACAGTCATTTTAGTCGGCCCCCGGGGTATCAATTTTTAATTGATATGGATATTTGTAAGGGGTGGGTACGTGATTTTAAAGATTTTGACCCTCCCCGAGGTGATAGTGGCCAGTGAGAAACATTTGTCACAGCAGTATTATCCGGACAATGTCTGGCACCATCACTTGATTTTGCCCCGCGATATTTTCTTGGAAAAACGCGACGCTTGTCCCAGTATAACTCTGAAATGGTATATTTCATGTGATATGAGAGTACTTTGACGAGATAAACGCAACGGTCAAGAACCGCAGATTGATGGCAGAGACTACACGAAGAATGCTGGCTAACGCGCCTACGAGATGTAGCGACCAAGAAACTCTAGGACTACTATATACCTCGATGATCTGGAGGACGAAGTGGGGATGGCAAATTGGAATTTTGAACAGAATACCATTGTACAGTTGAGAGAACTTGCGATGCCATCGTTTGGTTGAGTGCCTTTGGTCCCTCGAGTTTGGAACTGCAAAGAGATTACAGCTTATTGGAATTGACAGTGAGTTGAATTTGGCCTGTATTCATGCATCTCGGAATATCCTTACCGCTAAGTCGAATAAAATGGAGTACTACTACGTAGTACTAGTACTAACTGCAAGAATCGCCCTTCCCAGCTATGCGTCCAAAATGACGCATGCATAACGTTAACGTTATACTGTAACGTTACTGTGAAACGTGGGCACTCTCTAAAATAACTTAAAAAAACAAAATGTGGCGACCAAGGATATCAACTATTGATTGGATACATTAGTGATTATTCCAAGGCCAATCAAAACGTACTAGTAGGCAATAAGTCAGATCGCCAACAGTCGGATGAACCCAATATGCACAAAGGCATACTATTAATAGTACATTACAGTAATACTACTATTAATAGTATATTTACTGTTAGTACCTAATTGCATTCAGAATATCTCTCGTCCTGTGGCAATGACAATTTTATCTTGTACTACACAGTACGTAGTAATTTGTAACTCAATTCTGCCATTTTCTCACCAAACCTCGAAATTTACTGTATGGATTTTATTTAATCATATCACCGGATAGTTATTGTGTCAAGAAGTAATATTAATAGTACTACCAGGTAGTACCATCCCTACAGTACAGTACCCGTAGTACAGTGCTTTAGTACGTACCTTCGATACCGTACAGGGTGCTAGCAGTACCACACAGCGAATAAATCGACACCAATAACGCTGTTAGTTACCGAGACAAGATACATCAATATGGGGACTGGCGTTCTAATGAGGTACTAGAGGAGTACTGCACTACAGTAGTATTAGTATAACGTTACTATAAATGATAACGACGCGGCTTGTGCATGTTATGTTGAGAACAGGTGCCACTAGGGTAGTAACGGTTGTGTAATTACGCGGCCTGTGTGACTTTGGTTTTTGTGTCGACGAAGGGTGATGAAATCGTTAAGGAATGCTCAAAATCGTTAAGCCTGGTATGAAACACGGAATACTAGTAATTCCCCCACAGCAGGTACACCTTACCTTCAAAACACCCAAACTATACCTTTAGTCCTTACATAAGACTCCGCACATATATACAAAAAAAAGACCTTGTAACCTGAGACTTCGTCGTACCCCGGTGGGCACGGATATTTCGAAGTATAATGTTATTCCCGGGGTTAAGCGCATCACAGCGGGACTAATTCCCCGGCAGCAACCGTGGTACAGCTGCAATTGACTTTAACGGGGCTGCTGTGGGGGAATTTTGAATAACGGACCAACGTCCGGATAAATAAATCCGGTTAACTTCAAAGATGAAGGCAGAATATCTATGACACCTCCTCAGCCACTCAATTCATCCGGATATAAGAGTAGTAACCGTACAAGGACCTTTCGGCTAGCACTTTTCTTTTCACCATGAATGACTTTGTTTCCCATGAATACTTACTTACTCCTGGCTGTGCAAAAGAATTTTACAAAACCGCCCGACACCGACAGCGACAATGTTTGCCTCGTGTGATCAATTGTATCAAAGAACACGACTTTGGCAGCTTCGTGTATTTACGACAGTGTTTAGATACCTTTAGTTTAGAGCTTGGATTTCGACTTCGTCAGAAGTATCGTAATGCAGTCGCAGGACGATGGATTTGTGCAAGCGAGGGTTGTGCTTTCTTTGTTCGAGCTGGTTTGCGTAGCGATAAGTCGACATCAATAACTTCGATGAACTTGATGCACAACCATGCAATGTTCCAAACCTCTTCCCGAACACCGCATCCAGCCGTTTCGAAGTCACTGGTACGTTGCCTACTTATTGTTTCTCTTAAAAAGTGAAACAAAAGGATACTTCTTGCACGTGCAGCATGTCCATAACTACTTCTCAGTTTCAAAGCATCAAACTTCTAGAAGCATCCGAATGTTCTACGAATTGTTTGAAACATCTAAAACTTCTAGCAATTATTGTGCTTTTCACCTTTTTTCGCTAATCCACAGCTAAAACCCTCCTTTAATTTTCATCATAAGATAAGCTTAAAGCATCATAAGATAAGCTTAAAGAAGGGTAATTTTACGGATTGGGACATACATGGTTTAACGGATAGCAATAGATCAAGCAGTTATGATTGGCTAATAGTTGTTGGAGGCTGTAGTCTTATTCTTATTCAAGTTGTTTGGCCATTTCAAAGTGGCCAAACAAGTTGTTTTACGATGAGCAGCATTGACATGCGTTGGCAGTGTGTTGTACTCGTTTAAGTATACGGTATCGACCTTGATGTCGTACGGTTGATCCTTGGCATCTCCCGGCGATCTGTTTCAAGGTACAATGCCATGTTCAAGTCCACAGGGCACGTTACTGGTGGCCGAAAACGTGCACAGGCTCACCGGTGGCCAGCTGCCGTGAATGATTGGGTGAAAGCTTACGTGGTCTCTCACCCTTGCATCTACCTCGAGGAACTCGAAGAGTCAATTCGACATCAATTTCCTTCATTAAACAACGTGTCGGCCGCAACAATTTGTCGTGCACTCATGCATGACCTAGGCTTGACTCGAAAAAGGTATGTAGTTATTGTGATTTTTGAGTGAATGTTATTATTGAATATTTATGTAGTCCTTGAAAAGCGAGCAAGGGAATCCGCTGATTTCGAACTGCGGGACTATTACGGCCGACTGCAACCATACTACTCGTACCCCGATCAACTTGTTTTCGTTGACGAGACTTCAAAGGTTGGCCGCAACGCGCTTCGAAAATATGCGTGGTCGAAACGGAACACCAAAGCAATAGTGGAATTGCCATTTGCGCGAGGTGAAAGAGTGTCAGCTCTGGCTGCGTTCACGACGTCAGGATTTTTAGCCTGGGAGTATACTGATGGTAATTATGAAATATAATCAATTTTTTTATGATTTGATTTTTAAGTAATTATATTACAATAGGGACGTTTGACCGTGAAAAGTTCCACGGTGCGATGGTCAAAAGTATCATTCCGTACTTGAACGCCTGGCCCCTACCACGCTCGATTTTAATTTTGGACAATGCGAAGATCCACATGTACAACGAGCTACAAGAGGCCGTCCACAGCAAAGGCGCGTTACTATTCTTTTTGCCGCCGTATTCACCACAACTAAATCCAATCGAAGTTGGATTTAGTTTGTTAAAGCGGTGGATTACCAAATACCCTTTAGCATTTCGAATGAATATTCGATCTGTATTAGATGTAGCATTTGTGGAATGCACAAAAAAATGATAGTATTGGCCATAATTTGTACCGCCACTGTGGTTATGATTCAACTCAGTTGGAAAAAGAAATTTTTTAATGTAATAAAAAAAGTTTGATGCATTATTCGCTTTATTTATGAATTATTCGTGGTCAATGTAATCTATATCGTCAACATTATGACTCGGAATGGGAACATCACCGACAAATGGTTCTCGAAATATGGGTGTCAAATCAAACGGAGGAATTCCCAAAATTAATCGGAGGTCTTCGACAGCAATGAAACACTCAACTGGGGGGCTCGACAACGTTCCCAAACGTATGCGCACCATACGGTACGTCTCGGCTTGCGCGCTTACTTCTCGACATCGCGCTTCAGAGTGTTCGGCCGCCATTCGGTCGATATGACCAAGCTGTTGCATTGTCGCGTTGTTGGGGATGCTTATCGGTGTTGCTGCTGGCAAACGTGCTGTCACAACGGACGCATAATTCGTCTGGAGTGGACCGAGCTCCATGTGTTGTTCTTGCATATAACTTGCCACACGAGCCGCCGAAGTCTCGATGTTGTGGGCGGTTGCGCGTCTAATTCCTGCATTTTCGGTGCTTTTGTCTATATAGTTTGTGTAAAATATTAGTACAGTATGTGTTGAAGTATATTGTTATTTGAGTTGAAAATACTACCAATGTACACGAAAAGCAACAAAGCAAACGTTGCTTGGCCATTTCGGACCTTGTTTGCATTTTCCCACACTTGCAGGATGACCTCATTGTAATTGTCCATGGTGAGTTTGGTGTACTTATCTTGCGTTGTGTTTGCGGCTGTTTTCACATATATATCCTTGGCCGTGGCTGGGTCCCAAAGTAGTTTCGAGTTTGCAGGCTCTGCATGATGCACAGCGACAATGGAGGTGATTGCGTCGACAAGCATGGCGCTGACAACTCCAAATGACGATGTCTTGCTCAGGTTGAGCTCGACTGGCTGACCAACGCTGGTTCGGCTTTTGCCTAAGGGTTTCCTAACCTTTGCAACAAGTCGGCATCGAAACGAGTCTGGCAGCGGGATCATTGCACGTTCAGGTCGTTATTTAAACTGCTTGTTCTCAACAGGTTTGATCTATTAATAATAATAAGGACGTTGGATTATTTTAGTATGAATGCCATTATGAGCTTTATCATTGTTTAATGTAGGGAGCTACATAGTATTATTTATAGAGGTGCATTGTATAACGTTCTAAAA